TTTGAAAGACTTTCTTATTAATCAGAAGTTGCCAAGTGCTAAAAAAGAAGTCCCAATGATAACATGAAGCCCATGGAAACCAGTTGCTACAAAAAAAGTAGATCCATAAACAGAATCTGCAATTGTAAAAGAAGCTTCTGCATATTCGAAAGCTTGAAGAGCTGAAAAATATAATCCTAAAAAAATAGTTAAAGCAAGACTTTGAATTGCTTCTGAGTGATTTGACCTTGTAATAGCATGATGGGCTCATGTTACGGTAGCTCCTGATGACAAAAGAATAGTTGTATTTAAAAGCGGAATTTGGAAAGGATTAAAAGGTTGGATACCAACTGGTGGCCAACATATTCCAATTTCAATTGTTGGAGAAAGTCTTCTATGAAAAAATGCCCAAAAAAAAAGAAAAAAAGAACAACACATCTGATACAATAAAAAGAATTATTCCCCAACGAAGCCCTTTTATTACAACTTGGGTGTGGAGCCCCTGGTAGGTCCCCTCACGTGTTACATCTCGTCATCATTGAATTATTGTTAAAATAGTAGCTAAAAATCTTAGCAGGAGCAAGTCTATATTAAATTGGTGGAATCATTTAACAAGCCCTGTGGTTAGTATTATGGCTCTCACTGATCCTGTTAAAGGTCAGGGTCTTATATCAACTAAGTGGTAAGCGTGGTGTCCGTGTGATGATGACATTAGTTAACTTCTCTGGCATATAAAGTCCTTAGAACAGCAAATACATACGATTGAATTATTGCAACAGCAGATTCTAGTATTAAAAGAAGGATTTGAGCTAGTATTAAAAACGACACTAAAGTCAAAGACAAAGAAGGGCCTATATTGCCTAAAAGTGTCAACAAAAGATGTCCTGCAATTATGTTAGCTGCTAGTCGAACGGCTAAAGTTCCTGGTCGAATAATATTTCTTAAAGTTTCTACTAACACTATAAATGGTATTAGAAGCCCTGGTGTTCCTTGGGGAACTATATGAGCAAGCATGTGTTGGGTATGGTTAATCCAACCAAATAAAATAAAAGTTAGCCATAAAGGTAAAGCAAGCGTAAGAGTTATCGCAAGGTGTCTTGATCTAGTAAATACATATGGGAGAAGTCCGAGAGTGTTATTGAATATAATAAATCTAAATAAAGAAATGAATAAAATAGTTGAACCTTTAGTGGCTTGCCCTAAAATTGCTTGAAATTCATTGTGAAGAAGTTGCATAATTTTGGATCAAACTAATGCTCAACGTGAGGGAGCCGCTCAATAAAGGTAGGGAATAAAAAGTAACCCAACAAAAGTTGATAATCAATTGATTGATAATGAAAAGATTCTTGAAGAAGGTTCAAAAATAGAAAATAGTCTTGTTATCATTTTCAGGTTTTTTGGTGTTGAGCTTTTAGTTCAATTGAAGGGGACATTTTAAGTGGAGATTTTATAAAATAGTTTAGAATAAAAAACAAAAGAAACCCAATAAGAAATATAAAAAATAGATTTAATCATAAAAGAGGTGCTATTTGAGGCATCAAAAAGTATTCCAGTGGAATTACTTAAGCTTGACAAGCTCATATTATTAATTAACTAACTTTTTCCACCAGAAGTAGGCGCCTCTACTATGATAGGTTTAAAAGACCTATACTTGCTTTCAGTCATCGGGTGATAGATCGGATGAGGAGGAGATTCAATTTAAAAAAGCTGAGACTGACACACTTTCTACTACAATTGGTATAAATCTATGGTTAGCTCCACAAATTTCTGAGTATTGCCCAAAAAACAATCCTGGTCGGTTAACCATAAATCTAATTTGGTTAAGACGGCCGGGAATTGCATCTGCTTTTACTCCCAGAGCTGGAACAGTTCAAGAATGAATAACATCAGCAGCGGTGACTAACATTCGAACTTGTGTGTTTATAGGTAATACAGTTCGGTTGTCTACGTCTAAAAGTCGAAATCCAGATAAATCTAGTTCGTTAGATGGAGTTATATAGGAGTCAAACTCTACTTGCAGAAAGTCTGAGTATTCATACCTTCAATATCATCGGTGTCCAATTGTTTTAAGAGTGATTCTAGGGTTATTAACTTCATCTAGAAGATAAAGTAACCGAAGTGAAGGGAGAGCAATAAAAATAAGAATAATAGCAGGAAGGATTGTTCAAATTACTTCGATTGTTTGGTTTTCAAGGAGAAAACGATTAACAAAAGCATTAGGAAATATAGCGGCTATTATATAACCAACAAAAGTAGTAATTAAAATCAATACTACCATAGTATGATCATGGAAGAAAATAAGTTGCTCTATAAGGGGTGACGCACTGTCTTGGAATCCTAGGTGACCTCATGTTGCCATTACTAAAAGGAAATAATTTTCCCTAACAGGAGCTTAAATCCTGCACATCTATCTGTCATTTTAGTAGTTAGTGATTATAGGGATTTCTATATAACTGTGGTCAGCTGGGGGATAAGCATGCTGTCATTCAATCGAAGTAGGTAAGAATAAAGAAAATATAACTGTTCGTTTAACTACCAAAGCTTCTCATACTCTCATACAATAATGATGAATCTAAGAACGGCTACAAGAGAAATTATTGATCCAATTGAAGATAGAACATTTCATGCGGTGAATGCGTCAGAGAGTATCGTCGTGGTATTCCATTTAATCCTAAGAAATGTTGTGGGAAGAAAGTGATATTTACTCCTGTAAATATAGTTAAAAAGTGAATTTTTAACCATTTAGGATTTATAGATAAGCCCGTAAATAGGGTGAATCAGTGAGCAATTCCTTCAAAGATGCCAAAAACTGCGCCTATAGATAGAACGTAATGAAAGTGAGCAACAACATAATATGTGTCATGAAGAATAATATCAATAGATGAATTAGCAAGAACTACTCCTGTAAGACCACCAACTGTAAAGAGAAAAATAAAACCAAGAGCTCAGAGAAGAGATGGACTGTAATTGATTTGGGTACCTTGAAGGGTGCCCAATCATCTAAAAATTTTAATTCCTGTAGGAACTGCAATAATTATTGTTGCAGAAGTAAAATAAGCTCGAGTGTCTACATCCATACCTACAGTAAATATGTGGTGTGCTCAAACAACGAAGCCAAGAATTCCAATTGCTATCATAGCATAAATTATTCCTAGAGTTCCAAAGGCTTCTTTTTTCCCGGATTCTTGTGTTACAATGTGGGAGATTATACCAAAAGCAGGAAGAATAAGAATATAAACTTCAGGATGCCCAAAAAACCAGAATAAATGTTGGTAAAGAACTGGGTCTCCACCTCCAGCTGGATCGAAGAATGAAGTATTTAAGTTTCGATCTGTTAAGAGTATAGTAATAGCTCCTGCTAAAACAGGAAGCGAGAGTAGCAAAAGAACTGCTGTAATAAATACTGATCACACAAATAAGGGTATTCGGTCTATTGTTATACCTTTTCTTCGTATATTAATGGCAGTTGTCATAAAATTTACTGCACCTAAAATAGATGAGACCCCAGCCAGATGAAGCGAGAAAATTCCTAAGTCAACGGAAGCACCTGCGTGAGCAATTGCCGCTGAGAGTGGAGGGTAGACAGTTCACCCAGTTCCTACTCCACTTTCTACTATTCCTCTTGTTAATAATAATGTTAAAGAAAAAGGAAGAAGTCAAAATCTTATATTGTTCATACGGGGAAATGCTATATCTGGAGCTCCTAGTATAAGTGGTACAAGTCAGTTTCCAAAGCCTCCAATTATAATGGGTATAACTATGAAGAAAATTATAACAAAAGCGTGGGCGGTTACAACTACATTGTAGATTTGATCGTCACCAATGAGGCTTCCTGGTTGACCTAATTCAGCACGAATTACCAGTCTTAATGAAGTCCCTACTATGCCTGCTCATGCTCCGAAGATAAAATATAGGGTACCAATGTCTTTATGATTTGTTGAAAAGAGTCATCGTTGCGTGATAAGGTGGCTGAGGAATAGGCGATAGATTGTAAATCTATAAACAAGTTTAAACTTTCTTATTAGGCTGCATAGTGGAAATTATTAAGACGTTAGATTGCAAATCTAAAGATGTGTATATCACTGGAGCTTAAAAGATAGTAAAATGAAAGTATTTTAAGATTTAAAAGATTTTCTTTTTTTGACAACTTTGAAGGATGTTAGTTTAAATAACTTAAAATCTTAGAATATAATAAAAACTGATGGGATAAAAAGTCCAAAAAGATTGATAAATGTCATTAAAGGGGTGAAAAGTCTTTGTCTTCGATGAGGAGACGATCATTTCAATTTTGGTGAAAAAAGAACAAATGCCGAAATCGAGATTCGCAAATAGTAATATAGGGAAATCAAAGTAGATGCCAGAAGAACCAGTAAGGGTATGAAGAAATAACTAGAGGTTATTTCTTGAATTAAAATTCATTTAGGGAAAAAACCAGTGAAAGGAGGTAGACCTCCTAGAGAAAGCAAAGATAAAAGTATAAGAATTTTATTGGGTAATGGGGAAGCATTATTGGAAGTAATTTGGGAAAAATGAAAAATCTGCTGGAAGTGAAAGATTAATGCGACTGAAGAAGATATTAAAGAGTAAAAAAGAAAATATATTGTTCATATATTTTCACTAATTAAAATAGCAGAAAGTATTCATGCTATGTGGTTAATAGAAGAAAAAGCTTTAATTTTTCGAAGTAAAGTTTGATTAATACCACCAACTGCTCCAATGATTGCTGAAAGAATAATTGCATAAAACAAAATAGTTGTGACTAAATAGTTAAAAGTAAGGTATGAGAGCAGAAGTATAGGAGCAATTTTTTGAATGGTTATGAGCACAATAGATTGGATTCAATTTATTCCTTCCATAACTTGAGGGAACCAAAAATGGAATGGAGCAGCTCCTAGTTTAAGAAGAAGGGCAAGGGCTAAACAAAGTGGTGCAAAGCTGGGGGAAATTAATATAATTGAGGCTGAAAAAATAATAATAGCAGATCCTAGAGCTTGGACAAGAAAGTATTTAAGTGCAGACTCAGAAGAATATTGATTATTTTTTGTAATAATTAAAGGAATAAAAGATAAAAGATTTAATTCTAAGCCTGCTCATGCCCCAAATCATGAAGTGGAAGAAATAGATAAAATTGTTCCTGAAATAAGGGTCAAAATAAATATTAATTGAGAGGGAGAAATTAGCATTAAAAAGAGAGAGGTTTATGCTCTCATAAACGGGGTATGAACCCATTAGCTTAGAATTAGCTTATCTTTTGTATACTGGTGTAAACGGCACGAAAAGTTTTGATCTTTAAAGAATTGGTGGAATTCCATTGTATATAGATAACATGAGTAAAAAAATTACATAATCTGTCCTATCAAGACAGCCCTTTTTCAGGCATCATATTTTAATAATATGAAGTTAATAGAAATATTATTAGTAAAATAAAAAATAAAAAAACAGAAAATTAGGAAAATATAATTTATAATAGTATATATATATATTATATATACATATAAATGTATATAATTAATTTAATATTATATATTTGGGACAATTGTGATTTATACACAGCCTTCTGTAATTATAAAATTCCCTCTCCCAATAGAAATCTAAGCCCGTTGGGAAATGGGACCTCCCCTCAGGAAGAAGGGACCATTTTAAAGGGCTTAGATTTCATTATGGATCTTATTTAGTCGATTTATATAATTAAATTATCGACTTTTCAGTTGACGAAGTATTTCAATGAAATTATATAAATTTACATTTTAGATTCGCCTTAAAAATATATTTTGCTCTGTTGTGTATAATTTTAGTTGAAAGACTAGGTTACGAGCTCTCTCCTTACATATATTTAAATGTATATATAATTAGAAAAATAGTACAATTTTAAGAAGGTACAAAGTTTTACTTTTGTATGGGAAATCTTCTATTCAACTTTAAGACCAGAACTTTTATTTTCGAGCAAAAAATAGAGGTTTGTGTTAAATTTCTCATAAAATTGAAGTTGCGGGCGCATGGGAGCGACCCATATAGGGTCTCGAATATAAGATTAGAAAAGTTTTTCCTAAGTTTCATGAGAATCATGATTTTCCCAACGGGCTCCCTAACTATTTTTTTGTATGGTAAGTTTATTCTACTGTTGACAGCAAAAAATGCAAGTTAGGGAGCTAGTTGACATTCTTAACTAGCTCCCTAACTTGTATCTTTGTTGAGAATTATAATGATACAAAATTAAGAATGATTTTAGCTGTTTAGTTGGCTCGATTTTGGCAAAAATTTTTATTTAAATATGGTAGGTTTAATAAGATTATTTATAATGAAGGCAAATTCTCATTTTTTTTAAAAAAAATTGAAGTTGCGGGCGCATGGTAGCGACCCATATGCGGTTTCAAATTTTAAAATACTTATATTTTAATTTAAAAAAAAATCATAATTAAAATTTCTGTTTTTAGTATATTGATGCGTTTTGAAGCAGACCGGCACTTTTAAAAATTTAATTTTTTGGTTTGAAATATGTAGATAAATTACTATAATTCAAATATTTTGTTTAAGGTTAGGAAGTTAGTGGAGAGTGATGTTTGTTGAGTGGTGTCAGAGTTTTGTGTTATATTTTTTATAGTAAAGAGATGCCAATCTCAAACGGTTGTTTGTTATTCCTCAGAAAACCATGGTCCTTGACTTTCCTTTATTAAGATCCTGATTAGCCTGGTAAGGGATTTCTATCCCTAAGTCCTAGGCCTTTACAGTCCCTTATTTTTGACCTGACCTGACCTGACTAGTCACGTCGCCCCCTTGCTCTTAAGCTCCTCTACGTTTGTTGGTTTGGGGATTAGTGGATGACATCATTATGAGCTGACCTCATGTTTAATAAGGTCACCCTGTATATTTATGCCTCTCTGTCAATGTTATCCAATTGCCTCTGAAGATGTCTTGAATAAAGACGAAAGCTTAGGTGCTCCGTTGTTTCCCTTTTCCCCGTGTGATATATATATATATATATATATATATATATATATATATATATATATATATATATATATATATATATATATATATATATATATATAATCACTGTAGGTGCGCGTGATCTAGGTATATGCTGATAACCACAAGGAAAGAAGAAAACACGAAGTTCCCAAGCGCTTTCGTGTAATTCACATCTTCAGGGGTGAGTACAGACTAGTCTGTACTCACCCCTGAAGATGTGAATTACACGAAAGCGCTTGGGAACTTCGTGTTTTCTTCTTTCCTTGTGGTTATCAGCATATATATATATAACAAAACTCTGACACCACTCAACAAACATCAAATAATTATGGGAGTCAAACAAATAAGGCAGTCAACAGTTAATGGAGTCAAATAATTAAAGGAAGCAAACAATTAAAGGAATCAAACAAATAATGGGAGTCAGCAATTAATGGATTCAAACAATTAAATGGAGTCAACAATTGATAGAATCGAACAATAAACGGGAGTCAGCAATTAATGGAATCAAACAATTATAGAATCAAACTATGAACAAATATTTCCTACGGCAGTGGCCCTGGGGGAAGGTTCTGGAACACGGTGATGCACACTCAGGGTAGGGAAGCGTCCATTCCCTCCACACTCAGCTACGTCTTGAAAAGGCAGGAGAACACCGGGACACAGACGGAATGAGATGAATTGACGGTCGTGGTATGCGGTAGTGGTAGATGACCAGAGAGTTGGCAGTTGATAGGTGAAGGTCTGGGAACACAGCCCACGAGTCCAGGACCTATGATGAGATCACAGCCAGAATTTGACGGACAGCAGAGTAGCTAGATACTGACTGTATGGCGGCTGGGTTGAATCTGCCGGTGGCGGAGATAGTCGCTGCCGTTCTCACCTCCGTCCAACCACCCCAAGTGTCGTCTGCACCAGCAAACGAGCGAGTTAGCAGCGGTAACCAGCCGGAGGATCGTTTCCGCCCTTACAGGGACCCACTAAATAACTATCCTACATCTAGCTCCAAGGTTTTCAAAGCATTTTTAACCTTGGGCCACTGACAAATATATTTACGTGACATATTATCAGTTTTGTTCTGACCATCACTAAGGTTTATTGATTTTAATTCCTTAATCAAACTAGCTTTAACCAGAAGTCTTTCTGTGACGCAAGATTTATATAGAAATAGATAGATACATAGATATAAATACATTATCCCACCCGGGAACAGGTCACTGACCAACATCGGGGCCTCCGGGGCGGAAATATAATAATAATAATAATGATAAAAATAATAATAATAATATTTATAATATTAAATTTTAATAATAATAATCACAATAAGAACATAGGAGCATCAGAATGGAGGAAACTGCAGCGGGCCTATTGGCCCATACTGGGCAGTCCCATTTACACCCAACCCCTATTGCTCATATATCCATCCAACCTATTTTTGAAGCTACCTATCGTATTCGAGTCAATAATGATGTTTAGTAACTTGTTCCATTCATCCACTCATCTATTTCTAAACCAATGTTCACCTATTTCGCGCCTAAATCTAAATTTGTCTAATTTAAAACCATTGTTACGAGTTCGCTCCTGGTTGGATAGTTTGACTACCTTTGATATGTCCCCTTTGTTTAGCCCTGACTTCCATTTATACACCTCTATCATATCGCCCCTCCTTCTACGTCTCTCGAAGGAGTGCAAATTAAGATGCCTTAACCTGTCTCTGTACTCGAGGTTCCATTCTGTATTACGGTGACCAGAATTGAACTGCGTAATCCAAGTGAGGTCTCACAAGCGCAAGATATAGTTTCAGGATGACCTCTCTAGTACTTTATAAGCCTTGTTACGAGCAAATACACATTGCTTACGTGGATTTTTTTCTTCTTATTTTGTACGGGGATTAGCCCACCCGGGCACAAGTTACTGACCCACATAAGAACATAAGAAAGTAAGGAGTCTGCAATAGGCCGGTTGGCCTGAGCATGGCAGCTCCTGTCGAGAGTTACTACCACTCTCTATCATACATGAATCTATCCAGCCTCTTTTTGAAACTTTCCAGCGTTCCAGCACTTACTACAAAGTTGCTAAGCTTGTTCCACTCGTCCACCACCCTATTTGTGAACCAGTTTC